TGTTAATTCTGTTTTGTCTCTATTGTCTATGGATATGTCAATTTTATGTCAAATTTTTTAATACATAATTGTTTAATATTGCAGGAGTTCGAAATTTTTGATTTTCATCTCAAATTAAAACTTAGTGGTAGCAACACGCCAAATATTTGGTTAGCTGTTTGTTTTACATATATTTTCACAAAAGTCAAAATCCAAATTTTTTTAATAGAAAATTAGAAAATGGCGGAGTGTTGTATCGCTGTTGGTACTGGTGTTGTTACTGGTGTTGTTGGCAAATGTAAAGAGATCCTGGTTGATCTACTTTTAAAGCTAATCTGGAACCGAATCACGCGTGTGTTCAAGTCGGGGTCTAATGTGAAGACTCTGAAGGAAAAGGCAGGGAAGCTGGTTGCTGAAAAACAGCGTGTGCTGCAATTTACTGAAGCTGCTGAACGAAGAGGGGAAGAGGCCGCACTGAATGTCATGAATTGGCTTACAAGTGCAGAGGAGTACATTGGAGAGATGGAGAAGTTAGGAGATGACGAAGACAAAGCAAAGGAGAAGTGCTTCGCTGGGTTGTGTCCTAATCCCAGGGCCCGTTACCAAATTAGCAAGAAAGTAGAGGAGTATTTGGAGGCTGTTGCTCCACTTCTAGAAGAAGCTTCCGGATCCGGGTTCCTAGTTTCCTACCCGCTTCCTCCAAAAGAGATATCGATCGGAGCAGCTGAAGGTTTTAAGCAATTTGAATCAAGAATGCCGATTCTGAACCGTGTTATGGAGGCCTTGAGAAGTGCTAGTGTTCACAAGATAGGCATCTACGGGCTTCCTGGTGTGGGCAAGACCACGTTAGCCAAAGAGGTTGCCAGACAAGCCAAGGAAGCGCAGTTATTTAATGAGATAGTTATGGCTTCTGTGACAAAGAATCCAGACCTGAAGAAGATTCAAGGAGAAATTGCAGATGGATTAAAGGTAACCTTTCAATGTGAGACTGAATCTGGGAGGGCTAATCAACTAAAGGCGTATATGAAGAATAGGAAGAAGATTCTTGTGATTTTGGATGATATCTGGGCGAGGCTAGATTTGGATGCCCTTGGAATTCCATTTGAAAACAAAAAGAGTGAGGCAAGTTCAACTGGAGAAGAACAGATGCAACTCAAGATTCTCTTCACATCTAGAGATCTCGATGTTTTATCTTGTAACATGGGTATTAAGGTAAACATCCGAGTTGATAAATTACAAGATGAAGAAGCATGGACACTTCTGAAGAAGATAGTCAGTGATGAAGTTGAAAATTCTGAGCTCCTGGAAAATTCTGAGTTCCTGGAAAATTCTGAGTTCCTGGAAAATTCTGAGTTACTGCTTACGGCAAGGGAGATAGCGGAAAAATGTGCAGGGCTGCCACTGGCTGTGGAAACAGTAGGAAAAGCTTTGAAAGGTAAGGATTCTCATGTATGGAGGGATGCTCTACGACAACTGAAACGGCCCTCCAAAGAGAGCTTCATGGGGACACTTGCAATTGTTTATTCAGCAATAGAATTGAGTTACAACCATTTAGAAGAAGAAGAGCTCCGGTTAACTTTCTTGCTTTGTTGTTTGTTGGGACACAATTCTTCTATCAAAGACCTGCTAAGTTATGGAATCGGCTTAGGCTTATTCCCTAATGTCAAGACAACAGGAGAGGCTCGAGACAGAGTACTAACATTGGTTAGCAATCTAAAGTCCTCTTCTTTGCTGCTTGATGGTAATAGCAATGATTGGTTTGATATGCATGATATTGTACGTGATGTCGCCATATCAATTGCCTTAAGGAGCCAGCATTGGTTATCATTATCAATAGCAGAAGACCATATACCCAAGGGGGGGTCAGATTTCAAATGGATCAGTCTACAAAAGGCTAATATTAGTGAGCTTCCTGATCAATTGGAATGTCCAAAGCTTACCTTATTTTATTTGGACAGC